AGTAATAAGAAAAAGGAAGAAGAGAGGGAGCAGGGATGCTGACAGTGGTAAGAAATGCTCACCTGTTGATCATCTGCTCCGTGCCAGGCTCCCTGCGACGGGCAGCCCTTGCCACCCAGAATTACTATGATTGTGCCCATTTTGCCGATGAGGTGTAGTTTGGCTGAGGAATATTCCCAAGTTCATGTGGCTGGTGAGATTAAAACAAGACAGCACATGTCCAGCGGTGGGGCTCATAACCCTGCAGTGCCGCATCCCTCCCCATGGGATGATGGCTTCAGAATGCTACAGGATGCTCAGGGTGGATGCTGGGTGAGGTTCCAGAGTGCCTGATTATTTTTACCTACTCCTTCCCCTTGAGACACCTGCTGTGAGCCAGCGTTGAGTCTGTGTTCTCCCAGGCTCAGTGCCACTTTTTTGTGTGCGTCCCTTCCCTTTTTTCTCATCTCGAGAAGCCTCCGAGCTTGGTGAGAATAGCCGTCTTCTGCCAGACTCCACACACCTACACCTTCTGGGTGTCTTGCCTTCTCCATCCATCTCTTCAGGGTCCCGCCCTTAGACAGGAAACCCACAAAGGAAGTGTTTCTCCTCGAGTCCACAGTATCCTTGAAATGCCTCCTTTGCCAGTGGCCTTGAGAGGTGGGCAAAGAGCACCTGGATCTCTCCTGAAAGGAGAGTCTCTGGATGGAGCATCTGCATCCACGGGGATGGCAGGGTGCTGGGGGTCACGCAGACACAGGTGGTGTCAGAGAAGGGGTGTATAGTGAAGGGACAGCGAATCTAGAAACTGATTTTATTTTTGTTTTTTTCTCTCTAATTATAAGAGTAACATAAGCATGCTATAGAAAAAGTAAAAAGTTAGAGGAAAAAGCCACAAAAGTAATTTTGATGTTTTCCTTGCTGTTTCTTTTCTATAGACATGCATTACATGTCCAGCGACCTTGATTTCTTCACTTGCGTTATCCCCTTCCAGTACCAACTATAAGGAGATTCTCAGTGGCCACGCTATATTCTGCTGCTTAGATAGACCACAGGTTGTTTTTCTATCTCCCAAGCGTCACATTTAGGTCATCCCCCACTTTCGGCCGTCATAAATAACGTCATGATAGAGATACGTATTCAGTCTCTCTGCACATCTCCCAGCACTTACGTGAAGGTCCCAGTTGTCTCATTTTGCATTTTCTAACCCTGTTGCAAGGAGTGAGGGTAAAAACCACTGGGGAAAGGTAAGCACGTGGCCTTGAAGAGGGCCAGCTATCTCACTGTCCGTTTGCAGCCCTGAGGTGTTTTTTTTCCTCCACAACCACATTTGTGTGGGTTCCCGGAAGGCGTCCTGGTACCTGCGCCCCAGCCCCAGGCCTCAGACAATGCCGGCATTCAGACGTGCGCACATGGAGCGCCGAGCGTGGACTCGGAGAGATTCAGGAGGCTGGTGGGCTTCGCAGGCACGTTGCCAGGTCCTTGGCCCCGAGGGTGAGGTCAGAGAGCAGAGGTCAGGAACTTCAGGGGAAAATCCTCCGTCGGTGTTATTTATTAACCACTGGGGTGGAATCTTGAAATAGGATTTTGATGGTTCAGAAGAGAGGGGTCCTGTGTGAGGCAGGACCGTAGGGCTTTGGGGACACGGTGGACAACTGTCACGTGAGTCTTCCTTGGTGTTAGCTCACCCACGGCCACGTGTGTGACAGTTCTGCCCCGTTTAACGTCAGGGTTGGCCCAGCATGGGCTGAAGTAAATAGTCGTTTCTGAACGGCTACCTTTTTATGGAGATGATGCCATTCTTCCTTCTCAGATAGTTATTTTCATTAGAGTTAGGCGATAGGAGGCTGCATCTCAAGTATAGGATCAAGGAAATTTGGACCAGGGAGTGGTTTTTTTTTAATTCCACCATCTTGTCCTCTGACTCTTAAACACAGCAGGCTGTTTGTTTGCTCCATGTTGTGTTTTTAAAAAAATCAGCAATATTTAAGAATCACTTAGCGTTCTATAAAAATCAGCTTCTGCTGAGAAAGATCAGATCTGGAAAGACTGAGGCCAGTTTCTACCCGGCAGCAGCAAGCCGAGCTGGGCGGCTGCCGCCTCAGTTTACCCCTGGCCCCAGGCGGCCCGCCCTGCCCTGCTCCTGTTGGCACGCGAACCTGCAGCCACCACGTGCAGCATTTGGGAATCTGTTGCTTAAGTAAAGGGTACCTTAGGTCTGTGGATGCATTTATAATCTTGAAAGGCTGGATTCGGGCGGACTGGCCACTCTTTGTAAGCCTGGGTGTTTATCTTACTGAATGCCACCAAAGAACCCCTTTAATCAGATGTTGGGTTCATGCATCTTATGATTAGTACGTGTCCTGCCTTTGACAAGAATTCAAGGCTCTTTAGCCCATCTGGCCTGATTCCCAAGCACACATCCGCAGGTATAAAGGGAAAATTATTACAACTTGTCACAGTTGGCTCATTGCTGACCAACAAAATGATGAAAAAGCCCTTTCATGGACAGTTCTGGCAAGAATTCTTCAGATAGGCATTTTGGGGCAGAGGGAAATAGCAGGCTCTGTTTTTCTTTTCTTTTTTTTTTTTTATTTCCTGACCCAAACCAGAACACACAGCCACCTCACAGAGCCCAGGTCCCCCCTGCCCCTTTCTTGGTTTATAGCATTGGCTTGAGTTTGCCTCTAATTTATTTGTTCACTCATTTCCCTTACAAGATTTCTTTCTGCCACTGTTGTGACCTCAGGATATTCTGACCTGAGGCCCCTGAGTCCCCAGCGCTGGCTGTTAAGGACAGTGAGACTCAGGACCCTGAGATCCTTTATGACTTGACAACGCGGAGTGACTCTTTTGACCTGAAGCTCAGGCCCACTAGGAGAAGTAGCAGCCTCGTTTACATCATCTTGTTTAGGGAGGGAAAGCAGTCATCCCACCTGACCCCTGGCATGTTTGTTCCTGCTGCAGTTGGGGAGAGTTGGTGAGCCCCCCAGTTCTAGACCGGTCTCTTCTCAGTAGGACGCGGGGGATTTTATGTGTCCTGTTAGAAACCAGCTTTCAATTAAGGCTGACTTATGTTAAAGTCAGAATGAGAGAGTGGAAGGTGAGAAAGAAAGGCCCCCTGCAGGGCTCATATCCTGTTGGAATCAGCCCCCAAGGAGACCGATGAGGTTTTGATTAGGACCTTGGACCCAAGGGGTGGGGGGTGGGGAGCGGGTAGGTGACGGTCTGTTCCTTAACTCCAGCGAGGGCTTGGTGGTGGAAGAAAGCATGGTTAAAAGATGTTTACCTACAGTTGTACTTCATCCTTCCCCAGAAGCATTTGTCACTGTTGATCATTTCAGATTTACAGATCGACTTTTCCTCTAGCACAGTCCTGTGAGGTCCGTAGCATGGGGGGCCGGGCTGTGCCCCCACTGCCCCAGGAGCCACTTCCCGGTCTCGGATTCCAGATTTCCTTGATGAAAGTTAAGAACAGGCTTTGGGGGAATTAATGAATCTCCTTGAAGCCCAATATCACAGACTTTTCACATCTTTTCATAACAATTAAATAGGTTTTTAAGGGGTGAAATAACAGCTGCTTAAAAGCAGGGATGGAAAAGTCTTTTCATCAGCAGTCGTGTTTGAAAGCATCCAAAGAAGAAAGTCTTTTTTCTTGGTTACTAAACTGGTGTGTAAGAGAGGGTGTAAATTCAGTCAGTCTTTTGGGGTATATATACCCAGGTATTAGTAACATCTTGTGTTGGGACATTTATTTACTTAATCAAAATTAAAAATAAAAGGAATGCATGTGCATGCTAAAATATTTCAGTAGTAGAGCAGAGAGCAGAGTAGAAGCTAGAAGTAACGCCTCTGCACGTGTGTCACTCTGTAAGCACTTTAATGCATACACCCACGTTTTTTATGTATACATAAACTTTTCTTCATGACCTTTTAACACGTGGGGACTTGCAGCTTACACTTTGAAGTTAGAGATCTCAGGGACAAGGTTAGATTTCTGGTTTTTCTGGGGAAGCTGGAAGCCCTGGCCGCCCTGGGCCCACGTTCCTGAGGGGCAGCCCCCTCCACAGGGCGCTCAGGCTCCTTCTGCCACAGTCCCCACCCAGCCCTGTCTGCTCACTGGCCTGGCCAGTCTGGCCCCTGTGTCCCTGGTCTTAGAATTTGCGTATCTTTCCACCCCTCCCCTCCCCCCAGCCTTTGACCGGAAGCAAGCAAGCCTTGCTCAGGCAGCGAGAAGGTTCCAGCTGGTGACAGAACCATGCCTCCAGGAAGTGCAGAGCATTGTGGAGGGCGGGGCTGCATGTCATCTGTTGGATCGAGGTTCCCACCTGGTCTGATTGAGGTGCCTTGAAACGTCACCTCCGGCAACTTAATGAACTTTCCCAGGCCCCGTTTCCTCACTGTGCAGACTGGGGTTCTCGCCCTCGGCAGTCCTGCCCTTTGTGGTGGGGGCGGTCCTGTGTGTGGTAAGGATGTTTAGCAGAATCCCTGGCTTCCACCCACAAGATGCCGGTAGCAGATGTCCACCCCTTCCCCAGTTGTGACAACCAGAAATGTCCCCCGACATTGCCATGTGCCCCCTGGGGGGCAGCACTGCCCGGTGGAGAACCACTGTAGAGTCCCTCCTGGTTGAGTATTTGCGAGGCTTAAAGGGGAACCCAAGAGTGAGTCACCTGTCCCCAATGTCGTGCTCTTTCTTTCCTGTTGTTTGTGGTTTGCTTGGTGCAGTTTCTTCCAGACATGATCTGTGGCTGCGCTGGTCACTCTTGGTCTTGTGAGGTTCTCTCTGCCACAGCTCTGGCCGGTGGCCTGCTTTTGGGCCTGGAAGAGAAGGCAGCTGTGAGCGCAGAGAGACACAGGTGCTGGGCTGTCCCTGGGCCAGCATAGCCTGCCCCAGGGACGCAGACACTGCACACATTTCACCTGTCTCTGCTCCCCTGTCCTCCTGTGTGTCCGTTGGCTTGACCCGTGAACCGAGCCCCTTGGCCACGTGTCTGACCTTCAACCCTTGTCATGTTTAGGTGGCCCTGGTGCAGTGGACCGAGAGCGTGGGCTTAACGCTGGTGGGCCGTGACCAGTCTTCCATGCAGCTGAGGACCCCTGGCGACCAGATCCTGAACTTCACCATCTTGCAGATCTTCCCTTTCACCTACGAAAGCAAACGCATGGGCATCATCGTGAGGGTGAGTCGTCTTTGGTTTATGACTTTAAACTGTCTTAAAAAAAAAATGCCGGAGTCTGCTGCGTCTGTCCCTGTGGCTCGACATCCTTTCTTACCCCTCGCTGACTCTTTATGGAGATGCGTGACTAACTGGCGGATGTAGTTCCCGCCACAGAAAGAAACTTAGTTCCTCAACTGGACAGACCTCGGAGAGCTGATGAGCTTTCGGTTAACCCAGTTCCAGGGTGAAGGGTCTAACGAACGTAGACTGGGCATTTCTTGGTACATTTCTCATCGTATACTCTTGTTTAATTGAGTGTGGTGTTTGCTGTTGAGGTGAAATTCAGGTGACATAAATGAATCATTTAAGTGTGCTTTTCATTTAGTACATCTGTCCATTCACAGTGTTGTGCAACCACCACATCTGTCGAGTTTTGAAATATCTCCATCTCCCCGAAAGGAAACCTTGTAGCCCTTAAGCAGTCACTCACCACACCACCTTCTTCCAGTCCCTGGAAACTGCCAATCTGCTTTCTCTCTAGGATTTACCTATTCTGGGTATTTCGTGTAAATGGAATCACATAATATGTGACTTTTTGTATCTGGCTTCTTCACTCAGCATGATGTTTTAGAGATTATCCATGCTGCGGCATATATCTGTACTCCGTTGCTTTTTATAGCTGAATAATATTACATGTTGATTATCCATTCACCCGTCAGGGGGCACTGGGTTGTTTCCACCTTTTGGCTATTGTGAATAGTGTTGCCATGATCATTTGTGTACAGGGATTTGAGTAACTGTTTTCACTTCTTTTGGGTAGATACTTAGGAGTGGAATTGCTGGATCTACTCCCAAATGCTGGAAAATTCTGTCTTTTAACTCTTTGAAGGACCTCCATATTTGTCTCCAATGTGCTGCACCATTTACATTCTCACCAGCGATGGATAAAGTTTCCAGTTTCTCCACATCCTCACCGACACTTTTTATTTTTCCTTCCTTCCTTCTTCCTTTCTTCCTTTCTTTCTTTCTCTCTTTCTTTCTTCTCTTCTCTTCTTTTTCCTTTTCCTTTTCCTTTTCCTTTTCCTTTTTCTTTTTCTTTTTCTTTTTCTTTTTCTTTTTCTTTTTCTTTTTCTTTTTCTTTTTTATAGCTATCCCAGTTTTCTGAAGTGGTATTTCATTGTGGTTTTCACTTGCATTTCCCTAGTGACTAATGATACTGAGCATCTTTTCACATCCTTATTGGCCACTTGTATATCTTCCTTGGAGAGATGTCTATTCAAGTCCTTTGCCTACTTTTTAATTAGATTCTCTTTTGTTGTTGTTTTGTAAGAGTTTTTTATATAGTTGGGGTACTAGACCCTTATCAGAGATACGATACCTAAGTATTTTCTCTCATTTGGTAGGTTTTCTTTGCACTTTGGTGATAAAGTTCCTTTGATGCACAGAAGTTAACTAATTTTGATGAAGTCCAATTTGTTTTTTTCCTTTGTTGCTCTTGATACTGGTGTCATATCTAAGAGTCCATTGCTAAATCCAAGGCCATGAAAATTTACCCCTATATTTTCTTTAAAATTTTTTGTATATATGTATTTTTAAATTGAAGTATAGTCAGTTTACAGCATGTCAGTTTCTAGTGTATAGCAGAATGCTTCAGTCAGACATGAACATCCATATCTTCATTTTCATATTTTTCCACTATAAGTTACTGCAAGATATTGAATATAGTTCCCTATATAGTATGAACTTGTTGTTTATCTATTTTATATATATTAGTATCTGCAAATCTCAAACTCCCAATATATCCCTTCCCACCCCCTTCCCGTGCTGGTAACCATAAGTTTGTTTTCTCTGTCTGTAAATTTGTTTTTGTTTTGTAAAAAGCTTGTCTTTTTTTTTTTTTAATTCCACATATAAGTGATATATGGTATTTTTCTTTCTCTTTCTGGCTACCCCTATATTTTCTTTTAAGAGTTTGTGTAGTCTTATCTCTTTAGGTCATTGATCCGTTTTGAGTTACTTTTGTACATGGTGTGAGGTAGGGGTTCAGTTTCACTCTGTTGCATGTAGATGCTGAGTTGTCTCATCACCGTTAGTTGAAGAGGCCATTTCCCCATTGAATAGTCTTGACACCCTTGTTGCAATTAAATATTTTCAATGATTTCATTCATACAATCATAAAAATTACTGAAAAAATATAGTAATCAGTCAGCATCCCCATTTTGCCATTAGTATTTCAGATTTTTAAAATATTTTTTTGAAACCTTTATTGAAGTACAGCATACACAAAAAAAAGTGCAGCCTTCCTACGGGTACAGCTCACCTGCTTACAAAGTTAGCACAGCCATGTAACTGGCATCCAGAGCAAGGAACAGGATTTCTCTGTTAATTGCCCCTGCAGCTCCCTCGTGCCCCTTTCTGGCTACTGCATCCTTCCTCCCCATCGTCCCCATTTCTACCACTAAGTTTGTCTCCTTTTGAACTTTATGTAAAGGAAATTGTATGGTAGATACCCTTTTGTGTTTTGAGTTCATTTGCTCAATTTTTTACTTATATATTCATCCATATTTTTGCATGTATTGTAGTTCAAGAAACTTTTTAAGCAAATAAGACATTGTGCATTCACTTGAGGTCCCATCTGCCCTTTCTAGATGTGCCTCCTTTCCATTCTTACCCCAAGTTTATCATTCCTATGAATTTGAAAATACTGCTATCAGACACATTTGGGTATAAAATGTAGTATGGTTTTCCATATTTTTATTTTTTGCATAGATGGCACTGTAGTATATATCATTATCCCACTTACTGATTTTTGTTTAACATAAAGAAACTGTCATGTTAATACACTCGTCCCCACTTGATTTATCTTACGTAAGCTGACTTACGTTATCGCATCGTATCCGTGTACCTCTCTTCCTTCCCTATGGATAGACATTAGATTGTTGCCACTTTCTTTGCCGGTAGAAAGAGCATCGCCGCATGTAGCCTTGTCTGCTCCAGCCTCCCTGGTACATATGTCAGTGTTTTCCTGTGAGCCGTACCCAGGGAGGACTTGCTGGGTTATAGAATATGTATGTCTGTAACTCTATCAGATATTGTCAACTTTTCCTCTAATGTGCTTATACTAATGTTAGTCCCACTGTTTTTCTACATCCTCATGAACACTTGATAGTGTCAGAGTTTTAAAATTTTGCCAGTCTGAAGCATCCGAATTAACACCTTGTTCTCCTGTTTGCTCTCTTATTCATGGAGATCACACTTTCCACTCTGGGAAGCCTGGAAGCCCTGTGTTCACAGACCACTCTGTTCAGGAGTTCTTAAGTCCAACTGATCATTAGAATGACTGTAGGAGTTTTAAAAATTGCAGAATACTTGGTCCCAGTCCTGTTTTCCTTGTCATTTTTAAAGGTTCTTCACATTGTTTGGCTTGGCCTGGAGAAAACTCTGCCTTAGATCATGAACATCTTTGGAATAAGACTCATCTTTTCTGGATTTTTTTTTTTAAATAAAACACTGTATCTATACAAGTGTTTCATGCCTCAGGGAGCAGATTTGCAGGTGTTAGTAATTGGCAATAGTAGTAATTAGTAGTAGGACCAGCAGCTCTAGTAATAGTATCAGAGATAGGAACAATATTAACAATGCTGGAGGTAGCATTAAATGGTGCTTATTGTGTGCCAGTCACTGTTCTAAATGACTTGCATAAAATAACTCATCTAATTCTCATGATTCCGTCGCAGTTGGTATTTGACAGAGGAGAAATTGAAGTCTAGAGAGACTAAGAAATCTCCCCAAGTTTACGTAGTTAGAAAAGGTGGAGCTGGGATTCTGCCCCAGCCCGTCTGGCTCCCAGGTCACCCTCTTTACCTCCAGGACCTGGGGGTTTGGGTGTGATGAGAGGGGGGTGGAAAAGCTCATGGAGCACCCACAGTAATGTCGAGGTGGTGTGCTAATTATGTATGGTATGGTGATAGATTATCCTGCACGTGATGGCTTAAACCAACAGCAGGTAATAGCTTACAGTTTCGGGGGCCGGGAGTCTGAGTGCAGCCTCGCTGGGCCCTCTGTCTCGGGGTCTCTCACAGGCTGCAGGCATCCAAGGTTCAGGCGGGGCAGAATCCACTTCCAGGTAAAACCAGTGCTGTGGGCAGGAGTCCATTCCTTGTGGTTGTCGGACTAAGGGCCTTAGTTCTGTACTGTCTGAGGGCCAGAGGTCACCCTTGTTCACTGTCCCGTGGACACCTGGTCCATGCTGGCCTCATCAAAGTGAGTACCTGAGAGTGTGAACAAGACAGACGGCATGTCATCTTTTGGGTAGAAACCAGCATCCAGGGCTGTCAGACTTGCTCTCCACTTTGCACAAATCTCAGATATCTCCTTTCGTGAAGTGATTCTCATCCTGGGGCCGTCTTGCCTGCAGGGGACATGGGGACATGTCTGAAGGCATTTTCAGTTGTTGCAGCTCAAAGGGTGTTGCCGCTGGCATCCAGTGGGTAGAGGCCAGGACAGCCTCCTAATGGAGAACATTCCATCCCCAGATGTTCACTGGGCCAGGGCTGAGAAACTCTGCCCTGACGTGTCCATCTGTCCTGCCTGCGATTTGAAAATAACTGTCCAGTCCCCTGATGGAAGGAAGTTTCCGCTCAGTTATGAGACGTCCCCCGGCGTGGTTTAGTGACCGCGGACAGGTGCGGCTCTGCTCTGGCCTGCTTCGTCACCGCCCCACCCCGAACGCGTATGAGCCGGTGGGCGGGTCTGGGCAGCGGCTCCTCACGCTAGCAGAGCAAGGGCTGGCGCTGGAGGACTCTCCCTCAGAGAAGCTCGGCTGGTTCGAGAAGCCGGGGTCTTTGGGGCTTGTGTGTCTGTCTCTGTGTCGCCGTTTTGTTTTTCTTGTGTTACACGCTGTTCCACTGCCCCCTCCACACCCTTCCCGCGTGGCTTGATGAAGTCGGGTCGTCGGCGTCGATCATCCTCTTGTCACTGTCTGAATAAAAGAGGCCTTTGAACAGGTGCCAGAATCAGCCCACAGTGGAAAAAGATGAGGCCCCAAACAATGCGGCACCGCCGGCAGATCACCGTAAATCGACAGCGTCATGTTGCCAGTAACATGGGAACGCAGCAGCCTCACGCTGAACTTGGTGGGAGGAAATGACTCACAGGAGGAGATGGTCGATACGGTATTTACACTGGAAGAGGTGTCCCACTGTCTCGAGCCCCTTCTGGAGAAGAGGAAGCTGGGGAGAGGGGCGTTATTTCCCATAGCACCACCGGGGTGACGGGGAAAGGAACAGAAAGCTCTGGTGCTTTCATGTGCAGACCCCACTGCTGTCTTTGGCCCGAGTCTCGTGCCGCGGAGATGCCATCCGTCACAGGAGAAGCCTGCATTTCTCACGCTTTTAAAACGCAGGTTCCTCTTCATGGCCTTTGGGTGCTTTTATGAGTAAGTGTGTTGTTCTAAAAGATGGTCGGCGGTTAGAGGCATTCAGAAGTTACTTTGGAAGATGACACCGTACCACTGATTTGGCCTTGGGTGTTTCTTATTCGATGAAGGGCTTGCAGGCATGCATTGTGGGCTTCCTGGGGGAGAATTTAGGCATGAGCTGGTGATGGCCACGCTCAGTCACCCATGCCTGTCTCTGCTGCGCCAGGCTCCCTGTGATGAAGGTCATCATCACCGTATAAGAATCAGCGATTACACCATCACTCCTTAAAGCCAGGATTTCTCCGCACTGTTGACATTTGGGGCGGGGTGATCTTCTGTTGTGGGGACCTTCCTGTGCCCTGAAGGATGTGCAGCAGAATCCTTGGTCTGTACTCACTAGATGCCGGTAACACCTCCCAGCTGAGACAACCGAATACATCTCCAGACATGGCCGTGGGCCCCCTGGGGGCAAAATCACCCCTCGTTCAGACCTCCCGTAACCGTTTTCTGCAGACGTTGTGATGGAGGGTCTTGAGGAGTTGCTGTCACCCCCACAGGAATGCTGGCGCTGGGGGAGCCTTTTCTGTGTATGTTGCCCCTTTGCCACGTGCCCGACGTAGGTGACCGCGTTTAAGCCACGACAGTCTGTGCGGTAAGGGTTGCTAGGATCCCTATTCTATGGATGCGGAAACTGAGGTTGAGAGAAAAGCAGTCGCTCGTCCGAGTGCGCCAGCCGGGAGCCAGTGCTGGGTCTAAGCGCTTGGTGCCTGTGCTGTGGTGTTAACCCACTCCCCGTGGGTAAAATCTGATCAGTGTGAACCGAAAAAATCTGGGTGATTGGCTCGCCAGCTCAGCCCTCAGGGAGACAAGGGCCTGGCGCTGCCTCTCTCAGGGGTTCTCAGCTGAGGCCTTGTGTCCTCCAGGAAGCGTGTGCTCCTGCCTGGAGACACTCTGGTTGTCCCCAGAAGGGTTGCTGCCGGCATCAGGTGGGTGGGGGCCCAGGGACGCTGCAGCAGATGGGGCCACGCGGAGCCCGGGCCCTCACGGCAGAGTTCTCCAGCCCCGACTGCTGACAGCGCCAAGGCTGAGAAACCCTGATCTCGGTAGTTCTCTTACCTCCCGGTTCTTCCCCATAGACCACGTTTTGGTGATCCTGGCAGTCCTACGTATAAATCTAAAATTATCTTTTCGTGTGGGAGTCCGTTCCCGTCAGAATAGAAATAACTAAAAACAGAGTTCTTCAGTCCTTTTGATCTTGCTTTCATCATTTAACGATTTCCCAAGTGCTTTGAGTTGTCTTCTGTTTTCTGTGGCCTTTGCCCCAAAGCGAGGCGCCCCTCTCGCTTTTTATCTTTGGCCAAGTGCAAAAACATTGGCGTCCGCTAAGTACGCTTCGGTGTGCGCCGTCTGTCATGGGAAGCGGGCACCGGCGCGGAAAGCAGATATTCCTCCTGGTTACCCATCCCTCCCCCCACCCCCCCCCAGGATGAATCAACTGGAGAGATCACGTTCTACATGAAGGGGGCGGATGTGGTCATGGCCGGCATCGTGCAGTACAACGACTGGCTGGAGGAAGAGGTAAGCGTGTCTGGAGCCTGATGTGATGAGGTGGGGCCCTGTATTCGATTCCTATGGCTCCGTTAAAAAATCCCCTCAAAACTTAGCAGCCTGGAAGGACACATGTTACTTCTTACAGTTTCTGTGAGCCAGGAATCCAAGCTAGGCTGTGCCTGGAGTCTCAGGACTCAGAGTCCCTCACAGGCTGTGGTCAGAGGGGTTGCCTGGGGCTGGGCTCTCATCTGAAGGCTCAGTTGGGGCACAGCTCACTTCCAGGCTCACTTAGTGGCGTGGACAGGATTCAGCCGCCCAGTGGCTCTTGGCCAGAGGCGGCCACATTCCTTGCCACGTGGGTCTCTCTCTGTAGGGCAGCTTACACGGTGGCCCTGGCTTCGTCAGAGCGTGCACGCGCAGGAACACAGAGGCAACAGACAGAAGTCAGCTTCTCAGGAGTGACCTCCCCTCACGTTGCCACCTTCTGTTTTTTAAAAAAACTTTTTTCAGCTTTACTGAGCTGTAATGGATACACAGCTTTGAGTAGGTTTAGGGTATACAGCACGTCGATTTGAGACACAGATTGAAGATCAATCACCACTATAGCCTTCGCTAACACTTGCACCACATCACATAACTGCCACTTCTTTTCTGTGGTCACTTTGCCACATTCTGTTCGTGGGAACAAGGCACTGGGTCCAGCACACACTGGGGGCAGGTCATCATACCTGGCTGTGGGTACCGGGAGGCAGGCACGGTGGGGCCACATCCCAAGCGTCCTTGTCCCAGTTTGTGACATGAGAACTGGCTGCAGCAGGGAAGGAAGGAAAGCTCAAGTTTATCAGGCCATTTCTGTTTCATCTCCCAGTTGCGGGTGGAGAATTCCCGTTTTATATTCAGTATTATCATATTTCCAGTTAGCGGGTTATAAGCCCAGATGCCGACAGGGAGCAGGCAGGTGACTCAGATGAGTGAAACGGGCCGAGGTGTGTCTTCCGACAGGGTCGCATTTTGTGTGTTGAATGTACGGGAATGTGCTTTACTTGACAGCTGTGTTTTCTGGGACCGCAGCCGCTTTCAGCCGTCACTGACTGTGGTCGTTTGGGAAAGTGCACCCACTTTTGTCAGAGGTTGAGTTTTTCCAATGAGCCAGAAATCCAGATTTGTCTCTGAAATCTTAACTGTTGCTGGCTGAAATTTTGAAACCCCTTTAGAAGATTTGCTCGGAGGGATTGCTGTAGGGGAAAGCAGTGTTCTGATTTGCCGTTTGGCCGACTCCCTGGGAGGGGTCGCCCACTTCAGCCTCCTGCCCTCCTCCAGAGAGAGCAGGGCCAGGGGTGCAGAGCCCTCAGTGCGGCTCCCTGCTGACCAAGGTCTGCTTTTCAGTGTGGAAACATGGCCCGGGAGGGGCTGCGGGTGCTCGTGGTGGCGAAGAAATCTCTAGCAGAGGAGCAGTATCAAGACTTTGAGGTAAGTGGTTCTGTGACCTTCCTGTTAATTTTTAAAGCCGCACCCCCACGCCCGTTGCACCTCCCTCCCCACTCATTCTGCTCTGGTCAGATTGACATCCTTTCTGAGCAGACCAGGTTCTTGGCCTGGAACTCTCTTCCTGCCCAGAGCTCCATGGCCCTCCTCCTTTGCTGCTTTTGGGTCTCAGCTCAAATGCCACCTCCTCTGAGAAGTCTTCCTGGATTCCACCATCTAAGGCAGCCCCACCTCATCAGTCCCCATCTGTCACCCTATTGAAATTTCTTCATTGCACTTATCACCAGCTGTAATGACTTTGTTTATATGTATATTTTAACATTCTTTTAAAATATCTTCTTTCTGGAATAAGATCTTTTTGAAAGCAGAGACTTGATCAATCTGGTTTGCTCCTGTACCCCTAATACTTAGGGTAGTCACTGCAAGCCTTTTGGAAGATATGAAATGAAACCTTCAAATTTGAAATTGTAAACTTCCTTGGGGCCCTGATCTTTTTAAACTGTAAAAAATGCTGGACTTGAACTAGAACATTGGCTTTTGCAGCCCAGACTTCCAGTATAAATATGTCTTATTAATTGTCATCTCATCCCATGGACTGTGGGTTCCTTGAGGGGAGAGGGGTCCTTGTACCCCAAGTCCTGGCACAAAGCTGAGTGAATGTATTTGCATATGTCTGACAGGAAGAGAGGTGAGGCTGGGGGAAAGGTTTTGGGGGCCCTTGTCCTGCTCCAGCCAGAGAAACTGTGCTTGGGTCTGTCTATTCTGTGTGCTTGAGTTCTTCTTAAAGTTTTATTTAACAAGAGTTGTAGCCCTGATATATTCTGCCTTTCTTTCAAGTTTGAAGGCATAAGCTATGAGACAGCTGTATCTTTGCTAACAATGTAAAGAGGGGTCAAACAGGAGGGTTGGGTCAGTGGTCTTTGGAAATGGGACTTCTTAGAAAACCTGGTGGTCAAGGGTTCTTGGTTACAGAGCATATGTTGTATGGGGAGAACCTACTGTTTTTAGGGATCTTGAGCTGTGCTAATCTTTGTAAAAACCCAGTGAAGTTGGGGCTGTCATTGCCATTTCATGGATGAAAATGATTGAGGCTCAGAGAAGTTAAGCAGCTTGCTAAAAGTCGCACAGCACAGGTGAGTGTAGAGCAGAGAGTGGGGCTCCGGTCGGTCCAGCTCCAGTGTCTGGACTGGTAGACTTGGAAGGAGGCTGAAAGTGTCAGTTTCACTTCTTTGAGGTCCACCCAGGTCCTGGGGCCCCTGCCCTGTGTGAGGGGATGAGACAGTCCTACTGCCAGTCGGTCCACCTTGCACCCTGCCACCCTGAACGATGACTGTGTCCCCTGCTGTGTCCTAGGCCCGCTACGTCCAGGCCAAGCTGAGTGTGCATGACCGTTCCCTCAAAGTGGCCACAGTGATTGAGAGCCTGGAGATGGAGATGGAACTGCTGTGCCTGACGGGGGTGGAGGACCAGCTCCAGGCGGACGTGAGGCCCACACTGGAGACCCTGAGGAACGCCGGCATCAAGGTAGGGTGAGCCTGCCCGGGACCCGCCACTGACAGAACCCACTGTGCACTCTGAGTTCCAGGGTTAGACCGGTGATCCCTTCAGCAGAGGGTAGAAATTAGAGAGGGGTGAGACGGCGGAAGGAGTCACAGAGGGAACCCGACATGCAGGGACAGTGGCCTGTAGCCCTCCCTGAGCCGGCCTCCGCATCACTGCCCACCCTGACAGCCCGGTTTCGGAGGCTGTCTTGTGTGTCCGCTTTCACCAGTGCCTCTGTGACTGCGAGCATCTCCCTGTCCCTCGGGGCCAACTGTGGGTGTTTGTTATGTTCTCGTTGAGTGGCTGGCCAGCCAGCCGTCTGTCTGTCGATCTGGGTGAAGGAGTGGCCGCCTGCCCCAGCAACTGCCAAATTGACATTTTTGTACGCTGCTGTTTGGGGCCAAAAATTACCTGTGCAGTGATTTCATGTGGAGGGGCCAGTAGAGGGCGCCAGGGGAGCGGGCTCCGTCTCCCTGGACCCAAGCAAGGGATTAGCAGCTCTCCTCTTGGGGTTTGGGAGGTTCCGTTTTTGCTGCTGGCTTTGCCCTGAGGTTTTTTTTCTCCTTCTCAAAACGGTTCTCTCCAAAAGACAAAGTGTTTTATCCAGAGTATGGAGTGGACGTCTCTTTCTGTTTCCCTTGTTAGAGGGGAGGGGGAAGGAGTGGCTCGGGTGGGGCCAGGCTAGTTTGACGTTAGTGTCTAAGGTACTGTCCTCCACGGGCCGGGAGGGGCTAGCACTGAGGAAAGGGCTGCTTCACCCTGCGTCAGGTGCAGCGGCCCAGTCCCAGCGGGGTGGTTTCTCATGCCAGGAAGCAGAGACCCGGGACTGGCACGTCCCGGCAGGGCCCCTCCTGTCGTCCCCGCATAGGATGTAAGCTATGTGGTGCACTGATGACGTTCCATGGTTTTCTAGAACTTGAGACTCCAGCTCCTTTCCCAGTGTTTGCTCTCTCACAGCAAACCCTGAAAACCAACACCAAACTGGGATCACATAAAACAATACTGTTTCTAATGCCAGATGGGGCATTGAGGGAAAAACATTGACATACTCCAGGGTCAAACCTAGAGGCAAGGGCCCCCAGCGGCCCGGTGCCTTCATCCCAGCCGCCTTTCTGCTTGGGTTCCAGTCCCGCCTCCCCGATGACTACTTCTGTGGTCCTTGGCAGGTGGCTTGACTTGTGTTTCCCATGAAGTTACTGTGCGGGTGCAGTGCACTGAGCACTCGATTAAATGCCCAGCACTGAGTGGGTGCCGGGCACGGTGAACACTCGGGAGCCTTCGTGGTTGTTTCCTTTGCTCTACTTCCCCTGATGCTGGACGAGGACTTCCTTGTGTGGGGGCTCTCAGGGCCTTCCCCTGGCTGCTGGGAGCAGAGGGGACCGAGGGTTGATGGGTGAACTGGCAGAGCGGGGAGCACATTTGTTTGGACTCTGAAGACCTGGGTTCTGGGCCTGGTTGGGACAGGAGCTTGCTGTGTGGCTGTGGGGCAAGTCACCTCCCCTCTCTGAGCCCACAGCAGTGAGACGTGCAGTGCTCTGTTACGAGGTGTGGAAGAGTCTGCGTGTTTCCTGTCAGCGTTTTATAGTTAGGGGTAAGCCCTGTGAGATTGCACGGGGGCACCCGACCACGTAGAAAGATCCTTTGTAACGTGGCAAATCGGAGTTTCCTGTGGGACAAGGAAGTGATCCCTCCTCTGTCCAGCCTTCCTCTTCTTTGAGATTATTTATTGCTTTAAGAAGAATTCCCAGCAGGGGGATTAGGATGTCGGAGGCTGAGCTTCGAGATGTCTACTGAAGCATGTGGCCAGTTTCCTAAAAGTGCCACCGCCGGTTTTGCTGCCCCCGGCAGTGGTGGCCCAGGGTCTAGAACCCCTTGAACCTGGGCATTTGCTGTGATGCTTTGCAGACGTTATAAGCCCCAAGGAGGTAAATGGAACGTACCAAGTTCAGCTCCGCGTTTTTGGAAACTCAGCTGACACAGGCGGCCGGCTGACCTCAAATACTAACAAAGAGGACCCCTTCTGGGCTGTAATTTCAGGTTTGGATGCTGACGGGGGACAAGCTGGAGACAGCCACATGCACAGCGAAGAATGCGCATCTGGTGACCAGAAACCAAGACATCCACGTTTTTCGGCTGGTAAAGCCTTCTCTGCATTGGGGCCTTGTGGGGGTGATGCTGCCATCTGCCCTGTAACCTCTTTACCTGGAGTGGGCCCCCTACACAGGGGGAGGGGGAAGCGCAGTAGCCACCTAGGGTAGGGGGAGCTCCCGTCGTTGGTTTGGGTCAATTACTGAGTGACCCCGGTGAGGCGGAAGGACTTCTTCCGGTGGTAGTGCAGGAGCACCTGGTTACGGCTGTGTTAACCTGTGTCCTCACCTGGGTGGGGGCCACGGTCCCTTTGAGAAGCTGATGGAAGTCAGGCACCATCAGCGTGAAGGGTGTGGTTAATCTCATACGTGTGAAATTGTACGTGTAAGTCCAGGATTTCACTGAACCTTTGAGAGGCTAGTCCTTGGATAGGAAATACATTCCAGATTGCAGATACTGGCCTGTCTGCCTCCTGGAGGAAAAGCTTGAGGGGCCTTTGGAAGGAGGTGTGTTGGGCGGGCAGATGAGTATTCTCTGCCCTTGTGCAAGCTCTTTGCTGAAACCAGGTGGGCGTTGGGAACGACTCCAGTCCTAGAAGCCGAGGACTGTGACTGGCCTTATTGAGCCGCGAGGTGAGGGGCACCAAGTCCCCTCTAGGGCAGGATGAGGTGGTCCTGCTTATCTGCAATCAGAGCCACCAGACCAAACAACTGGAGGTGTTTGAGATGTTTCAGCGTCTCCCCCAACCCTTGCCCTTGGTCCATAGCACACTGAAGCTTTAAGAAATCCAGCAGTTTTGGAAAGAGCACAGCCAGCATTGCACAGAGGCAGATACAATGGGTTCTCATTCATGGATTCTGTATTTGGAAATTTGCCTATTCACTAAAATTTATTTGTAACCCGAAAATCAATACCCGAGGTTATTTCAGAGTCATGTGTGGACACGTGCAGAGTGGTGGGACCTTCGAGTCACCTGATGTGTGCGTCCCCGGCTGAGATGGAACGAGGTGACCCTCTGCCTGCTTGTCTCAGCTCTCGGACTGAGAGCTTCTCAGTCTACTTAGAGCCACGTTTTTTTTGTTTTTTGCATTTTTGTGCATTTTTTGGTTAGCAATTTCACTGTATAAAATGGCCCCAGCACAGAGCTGGAGTGCTGTCTGTGTCCCTAAGAGCAGGACAGCTGTGACGTGCCTTCCAGAGAAAAGTTTCCCTCAGGCGTGAGTGATGGTGCTGTTGGCCATGAGTTTCGTGTTACTGAGTCAACTATATAAGTACATGTTTTTAAATTAAACACATTTTATTGGGGTGTCATTGCTGTACAATATTGTATAAGTTGCAGGTACACAACATAGTGATTCACAATTTTTAAAGGTTATGCTCCATTTATAGTTATGGCAGAATGTTGGCCACATCCTCTGTGCTGCATGATATATCCTTGTTGCTTATTTATTTAACACACAGTAGCTGTGCTCTTAATCTCCTGCCCCACTCCCCTCTCCCCGCTGGTAGCCACTGGTGGGTTCCCTGTATCCGTGAGTCTGTTTCTTTTTTGTTATATCCACTAGTTTTATTTTTTAGATTCTACGTGTAAATGATATCATACAATATTTGTCTGTGTGTGACGTGTTGCAACAATACATATTTCGAAAGGTGTCTTTAAACAGAGACACATAGAAAACGAGCTTATGTATTGGCTGATGGACAAAAGTGTTGTGACCAGAGGCTCGCAGGAACCTCGCCCTGCATCTCCCCCAGGAGCAGTGGCTCAGTGGTCACCAACTCAGTGTTCCCAGGGACTTCACGGGAGCATAGCAAGTAATGAGAACACACTGTATGCTGTAGAATTCAGGGGTTGCAAACTGCGGCCTGTGTGCTGGCCACCTGTTCCTGTAAATAAAGTTTTATTTAAATGCAGGATCTGCCGCATTGATCTGCATATCGTCTGTGGCTGCCCTGGCACTGTAGCAGCAGAGTTGGGACGGACAGACTGTGTGACCCACGGAGCGTATACCGTTTAACAGCTGGGCCTTGATAGAAAAGCTGGCCCCCTGCTAGGTGCCCGGCTGCCGCCGCCAGCTCTGCAATAACCAGGCTGTGTTGCCGTTGGCAACCTCACACATCTTGCTGTGCTTCAGTTTGCTTCCCTGTAAGGTTGAGCTATTATCAGGCACCTCGAAGAGTCTCGTGAGAAATAAACGGGGTGAAAAGCCATGAAAAGTGCTGAGCACAGGGCTGGGCACGTGATGGAATTCCAATTGCTTTTTGCTCTTATTTTGCTACGTGGGTCATGGCCCTTCTGGGGGAAACTCAAGGGGACGGTTGATCTACAGACCCTCCCGATACCCTGCAGAATCCAACAAACAGGCTTTCCCTCGGCTCTGGGTCTGGCGGCGGGGGAGGGCAGGGGTCCTAGGCCGGGGTGGCCGTTGTCCTCCCGCGGCTCCAGGAAGCCGCCTGTTTGTTCTCCACCCTGTCTGGAGAGCCAGGCCTCCTTCACCCCGCCTTCCCTTCTAGGTGACCAACCGTGGCGAGGCCCACCTGGAGCTGAACGCCTTCCGCAGGAAGCACGACTGTGCCCTGGTCATCTCTGGAGACTCCCTGGAGGTGGGCGTGGGGACCCTGCCAGCCGGCTCCTCCTGTTGGGGGGGGTGCAGTGGCGGGGACCTTGCCCGACCCGCTGTCTCTGCCCGCGTCCCACCAGGTCTGCCTCAAGTACTACGAGTACGAGTTCATGGAGCTGGCCTGCCAGTGCCCGGCCGTGGTCTGCTGCCGCTGCGCCCCCACCCAGAAGGCCCAGATCGTGCGCCTCCTGCAGGAGCGGACGGGGAAGCTCACCTGCGCCGTGGGTAGGCGCCTGCGCCCAGCCGAGTTCCGCGGGGATGCATGGGTTCCCTGCCGGGTTCTTCACGCTCCCCGGGCCACTTTGTTCAGGTCGTGGTACTTACCCCCTGCACACTTGGCCCTATTTTGTCATTGTTTTTATTATTCTTAGTACTTATTTCACTTTGAGAAAGAGTCAACAGGCAGGCTGAGGGCTTTCCTCCTTAGCTTCTGCTCCGTTTGTAGTGACGCAAGATGCAGAGATACCCCGGAGGTGAAGATTCCGCTGTAGAGAGGGATCTGGGTCCAGGCTGCTGGTTTTCACCATGTGTGGGCCCCAGGAGGGGATACTTCCTTCCCCGTCTGAGCCTCAGTCTGCCCGTTGGTAGAATGGGAGAATAGCGCTGGTTCCCTCAAATGCTGCTTGTGAGGACTCAAAGGGGCAGGAGCATTTAAAAAGTGCTGGCTGCCGTCTTGGTAAATGTTCCGTCAGTGCACCGTCCATCATTGCCGATAAAGACATGGCACCCACACCTCGGAGGCAGGGCGGGTGGTGTTGTGAACATGGCATGGCGTGGACACGGTCCCCCTGTTGCTACTTAATGACTGGGACCCGACCCTCAGCCACTCCCCTGGGCCCTCTGATTCTCCGCTCCTCTGCCTAACACCGCAGGTTGTTGGAGCAGTTAAGCGGAACCTTGCAGAAAAGGCACTTGACATGCGGTGAATGGCTACACGTGTATGATTATTTGAAGTAACAGTGAAACATGGAGGTTGTGTTTCTTGTCTTTGCCCAACTTCCCGGCTTTTCTCTCTGGTCTGTGTGACCCGCAGGTGATGGAGGCAATGATGTCAGTATGATCCAGGAATCAGACTGCGGCGTGGGCGTCGAGGGAAAGGTGAGCACACGGTAAGGGGGGAGGGTGCTGGTTTCTGCCCGGTGGTCGACCTTAAGATGTCAGCTGCTCTGCTCCACCCATTGGAGTTTCTTTTTCCCTCCAAGAGACGACTTAAATACTTCTGGAAATTCTAGTTTAGAATTATTAAGCATAAGGAACCATGTACCATAATTACCTTGTGTTACTACCTAGAACACTGAGAGATCACTGCCTGGAAGTCAGAGATCTGCATCACTGTGTCTTACAGACAGACGCTGAGGCCTTGCTTTCCGAAACCTAATTTTTTAAAGAAAGTGTTTTGCTATATTCTTAGGGGACAAGGAGTGTATTTCAAACCCTTCCCTGCATTGTCAGTAAAAGCTTCGGTTATCGCGCCGTGTGAGGATCTTTTGGGGATTATGGAAGAACATGGCATGGTTCGCCCTCACTAAAATGCTGTGACAGCTGCAGTTTGTTCGTTTCTTTGTTATAATATAACAGCTTTTCTCTTTCCTTCCCTGTCAACTGTGTGCCTGCGTCTTACGGTTTGCCCTGCCCTCTCTTATTTGTAATCTCCAGGTGACTATAGGAAAGAAGGTTGGTCACCGGGTTTGTTAGAACTGTGTGCACAGTAAGAGCACAGAGGCCCGGAGTGAGGGCCGGAGATGCTCCCCTGTAGATTTTGTTTGGTATATTCATGAATTTGGCTAATCCCCCCAATTGTTTTTCTTTTCTACCCTCTCTGGTTTCCTGTTTTTTTCTCATCCGATTGACAGTTATTTGAAGTTGCAGAGTTAAATGATCCTTGAAGGAGATGTTATGTCTGAAATCTGTGTAGATTCCTTTAGTGCAGGTTTTAAGAAGCACAGTTGATTTGAACAGATTGAATTCTTTACATGTTGCTTTATAAAACTAAATCATTTTCCTTTCTGTTAAAAATTATATTCTGATTATTTTGGTTTTTGGAGTAGAAAAGTAAAAAGTGCTCACTGTAAAAATGGAAACAGTTTAGAAATTGGTTAAGTGCATCCTTTCTTTGAGACGACTGCATTGAACTAGTGCCATGGGTTATTCTTCCAGAACTTCTCTCCGTGTGCATGCTACTAGTTATGGGTGTGTACATAATATTACATACACACATAAATATATACATGCACCCACACATCTTGCTCATGTTTATATTTTATTTTCATGTGTAATTTAAAATTATAATACACATTCTTAATGCATCTTGCTTAAATCTTGTATTTTAAATTTCCTTGTACATCAGAACTATAGAGCCATCATTTTGTATGTTCCCTCCAACTTTTTATTTTGAAAAATGTAGCTCCTTCAGAAAAGCTGAAAAAGAGCTAGTGAGCACCTGTCTCCTCTTTGCTTTAATTTACCAGTGTTAACATTTGCCACATCCTCCCCCTCTGTCTCCCTCTGTTTCCTTCTGTCTCCCTCTGTCTCCCTCTTTTTCTCTCTCTGTCTCTCTCTGTGAGTCAGTAGTTGCAGATATAACATTATTTCTCAGTGCTTCAGCATGGATCTCTTAAAAACAAGAACATTCTCCTATGTAAGCAAAATAACTGCCTCACCCCAAATGTAACGTTGGTATAATATTATTATATAATATTCACGGTCTGATTTCCCCACTTGTCCTCAAAGTGTTCAAACAGAGATCTCCAGGAACCAATGAAGGACCGCACATTGCATTTATTAGCGGTTTTTCATGGCTCTTTATTCTTCTTTCATGGAGAACACTTTTCTCCATCTTCCTGGTGGGGAGGGGGCGTGTTTTGAGACATCGGTATTTTTGAAGCATTCAGGACAGTGGTAGATCGTCCCATGACATTGCGGGTCAGATGGATTTGATTCTGGTTCTGTGTTTCTGTTGTGAAGAGCACCTTAGGAGAGTTTGTGTCTTCCTGTTGCAGAAGGTCCGTGGCATCCATCACGTACCTTTTACAATTAGAGAATGCCGTGATACGGCTGCTCTGTGAATTGTTTCCAGTTCTGTGAACGTGCAGAGCTGTATGTTGGGGGCTGTTTAAATTGATATTGTTAGTAGCGTCAGTCCCCTCCCCGCCCAGGTTTAACTCTTAAGGGAGCTGACTGTTAGATTCCTATCTTTGAATGATTCTTTGCTTCTGATACACATTAGGGGTTGAGCCTAACCCCCAAGGCTTCCTACTAGATCCGTTTGACCTCCCAGTTAAAACTATCTGTGATTCAGAATGTTTTTTATTTACATAAATTCCTCTTTTTAAATCAAATTTAGACTCAGACCACCAACCATGTATAGTTGGAAACCAAAGAGTCTCTTTATTGAAGTTCTTCAAAGATCTCCTTACAGTGTCTGGCTTTTTCAATTAAAAAAAAAATGCATTTGTCTTGACCTCCGGTGCTCCTGACGGTGCCCAATTTAATCGGATTTTAGGAAGGAAAACAGGCTTCGCTGGCCGCAGACTTCTCCATCACTCAGTTCAAGCACCTTGGCCGGTTGCTCATGGTGCACGGCCGGAACAGCTACAAGCGCTCAGCCGCCCTCAGCCAGTTTGTGATCCACAGGAGCCTCTGCATCAGCACCATGCAGGTGGGTGGGCGGGAGCGCGTGTCTCCCCCTGGCAGGTGGGCGGGCAGCTGTGCACAGGTGTACAGGTGTACGTGGCTACGTGGTTGTCACGGTGGTGAGGGAGAGTGAGTCTCCGCTTTCGAGCTGTTTCCCTCACCTGGCCAATTTAAAACCTCCCCCACCGCACCTGGCCACATTCCTGGTGACAGAGCTCGGAGTGCCCCAGAGCCCTCCTGTTTAGGTGGTGAAGGCCATTCTTGCTGTGTGGAGCAGGCGGGAGCATTGCTGGTGGTGCCTGGCCGGGGCTTGGCATGAAGTGGGTGGGGGTGTAAATGGTGGGGCTCTGATAACTGGGTGCAGTTGTTCTCGTTGGGTTGCCAGAGGGAATGATGCAGAGTTAAATGTCGGCTGAATACACTGGCCCTGAATTTTCCACATGCAGAAGCAAAAGTTGGCAGAGAACAGCCACCAAAGGATAACTTACTTTTCTTGAGTGCTTCCTGTGCCCTGCAGTCTCACAGCAGCAGCAGCCTGTGCCCATTCTGCAGATGGGGAGGCTGCGGCTCACGGAGGGTGAGGAATTTGTGCAGCGGCCCTCAGGGGTTTAGTCTGCCCAGAGGCGGGTACCCCGGTATCTGCACTCTTAATCAAGACCTCGCCGTCTCCACTCTGTGCAGAGGGGCCGGAGCTGCCACCACGTGTGGGGAGCACCCAGGTGGGATCAGCCTGGCCCCTGGCATCACAGTTCTGCCTCCGGTGCAGCTCGGCTAGGCGTCCAGCTTCGTTATCCCAGTTGTCAGCCCTCCCCGGGAGTGACATCTTGCTTTCTCACAAAAGGATTCTAGAATATATAAGGTATTTCCCCACCTTCTCTCTCACCAGCTCCTTTGAAATCTGTCCTCAGGCTGTAGCGGTTAAGCGTGTAGGAGGAAGGAGGCCAAAGGGAGGGAAAGAAAACATTTTGGGTGTTGAAAAACTATTGGCTGGTTTTCCTTCTTGGGTGTGGAGGGGGCGAGTACCCCCAGTGAAGTGGTGGGGACATCAGGATGCTACGTCCTGGAACCATGTCTCCCTCTGACACTACCAAGTGCGACCTTGAACCAGTCCCATTCGCACTCTGGGCCTCAGCCTTTCCACCTGAAGAACACGGACCAGACCTCTCCATCGCTCTGTTCAGGCATCTTGGCCCTTGCCCCTCAGACAGGGCTACTTTGAAAAGCAGAGAGTGTTGTTCTAAGGCATCAGATGCGGAAGGCATCCTTACCATTGTTGATAAAAATGAAGTCGGTTAACGCATAAACATAGGTGATGTTTTAATTTGTGGAAAGGTGTTTAATCGTACACGAAAGACATCCCACTGTTCAAAGTGAGTCTAGTGGTGCTCATTAACGTACCGCTGGCCTCGCCCCTGCCCTTGGGGGCTTTAGAGGTTTTCAGTATCTACTGCGCTTATGAGCGAAGGAGCCTCGAAGTGATTTTCATCAACACGATCTAAACTCTAACAGCTGCTACGGCTCATCCGACCAAGTCTGTACTTTTTAGTTTATGTTAGCTCATCAACTAACCTGGATAACGTCACGGTTTTAATCATCGGGAGATTAATCAGCTCGTCCACTGGGCAAACACACAAAAGCTGGCGTGGAGGAGCTGCCTTCTGTAATGTCCGTATGTTACCATGAACATCGATTCAGACACAAATTCTAGGATGAGGAATTGTTCTTTGTGCTACGGGAAAAAAAAGCGCCCTTCCCCCCGTCCACTGTGCTGAACGTGGCTGGCTGAGAGTAAGTCCCGTCAGAGCTGCACCTTGACAGCAGCCCCTTGGGCAGATAAAGACATGGCACTTTTATTTTCCACAGTGCTCCTTCCAAGATGAAGGCTTTCTGGTCAGTCTGACCCTTTTAGAGAAAGATTTGCAAAACTGAACACCAGATGCTTGGCATTTTTACCACCATCCTTCCTGTGCAGCAGCCCAGCCTGGGTGAGAAATCATTCGGAAAGTGGCGTTCACCTTTTAATTCTGAAATCACGACCAGGGTGCAACCAGGGCTGCCCGTGACCGTGGCCCTCGGTGTCACCTGTGCTCTGAGCTCTGTGCCAAGCAAACGCCCGCGGCAGGTGACAGGGGCGCGGTCCCCGTCTGCACGCTCTTTGCGGTCACCAGGCCGGGGCAGCCTTTCTCCGCGTTCAGTTTCTGCAAAGCCGTCAGGCGGCAGTGGTCTCTGGCCTCCCTTGGGTCTTACACTAGTAGGAATTAGTTTTGCGGTCACTTGGCTTCTGTCGGCCGGTGGATGTTGGGAGAAGAAAGTAACAGAGCATCGAGTCTGATTTTATCTCCTCGGCCTGTGTTTCACTGCCAGTAGCGAATATTTTCCAAATTGGGAAGCAGACATTTCAGTAGGGGTTTGTGAATATCTCTGTTGCTTTTGTCTAATTGCAAAAGTAGCAGGCTATGGGCTCTTTGTAAAAATGTCCAAGAATAGTAAAGCATGTAATGTAAGGAGTGAAGCCTTCTCGCTGGTCCCACCCTCCAGGGTAATGGGTACACATCCTCGTGGTAGAGGATGTTTTTCCGTATCTGTTTCCATGGCAACTTATTATCGGCGGCGCACCTGGACAGACTGTGATTCTGAGCTGTCGGGAGTGTGGGCCCCTGGAGACAGAACTGGGTTTGAGTCCCGCAGCGCCCCTTATCTGCTCCGTTTCCCTGTCTGTAAAATGTAGGGGATGTTAGGCCTTGATTTCATGGGTTGTTCCGGAGTCACTAAGATCAGATACAAAGTAGTCCCAGGTCCAGCTCATTAACTTAGTTAAGTGTTGACAGACGGCCTGAGAGTGGAGCCTGGAGCTGAACTCCCTGTGTGGGACTCCTGGTTCTGTCAGTGATGGGCTGTGTCGTCTTGGGCAAGTCGCTTAACCTGTCTGTGCCTCACTTTCCTTACCTGTAAAATGGGGATGATGATGACAGTCCCTCCTTCATCAGGTTGCTGTAGGAACTGAATGAGCTCATAGACTTGAAGCACTGTAACAGTCCAGGTATAAAATAAGTGCTGGGTAAGTGTTGGCTGCTGTTTTTACTGTGTACACATAAGGGCTTCAGTCTTGACTTTTGGTAATGTCCTCCTTTCTCCTTGGTACAGGCCGTCTTCTCCTCCGTGTTTTACTTTGCCTCCGTTCCGCTCTACCAAGGATTCCTCATCATTGGGTAAGGAAGTCCGGGCAAGGTATTGATTTTTCATGAAACCTCCCTAAAATGCCACAGAAGAAAGAAGAAACATTGTGTAAAAACCCTTTGGTCCCCAAGTCACTGGTCAAGGCAGATCTGGCAATGTGGTTTAGAACCTTCTTGAATTAATACGTTTTTGAACTGGTAAGCCTGTAGGTAGAATCTGATATGTTTGTGGTCCATTTGAACCTGATGATGGAAGAATGCTTTCCTACGGGAGTCTCGGGTTGTCAGCTGATTGGCAAGCCGGGGAAGACTGATGCTTCACAGACTCAGTGGGGTCTTGGACAAAGTGGAAGGGGGATCTGGAAAGTGCCCCCCTGCTGTGGCTGACCGCGGTGGAGCATCCTGCCGATGGGTCTCCAAGGTGGGCCAGAGCCTGGCTCTCCGGGGTTATACCTGGTAGAGCTTGGCCAGTGTGTGCCCGTGACCTGTGACACAGGCTGTCCCTTGGACATCTGCTGCCATCACACCAACCCCCGATCCTGACCAGTCTTTGAGTTACCCAGGTGGGTGGTGTTTGGTTCCCACCTGCCCTAGGCAGGGCTGCTGGCAGGGCCCTCCTGGTGATGAAGGCAGGAAGCCCAGAGAGGCCGATGGATCCCCGGGGAGTCTTACAAAGTACGCCTTCCGTCTTCTTGTGTTTCGCCAGTTCAGCCTGGGAGTAGGCACTCGAATTTTGCCTGCTTCTGATTGGGAGAATGGACTGTCCTGTGTCAGGTCCTGAAAGAGTGACAGCACCTACCAGAACAGAGCTGGGGGCTCCCTGAGCCGTGCTCTGCGTGGCCTCCCATGACCTGATCTCCTCTTCCCTCTTGGTTTTCGCCTCCCCTCTTTACCCCCACCCACCCAGCGCCAGCCACGCTGGCCACCTTGCAGTTCCTCAACAGGACAGACACGCTTCTGCCTCAGGGCCTTTGCACTCGCTGCTCTGTCTGCCTGGGGTGCTCTTCCCTCCACTGCTGGCGTGGCTGCCCCTCACCTCTTGTGGGTGTTTTCTCAGATGCCATGTCTCTTGTCTGCCCTTTTCAAAATGACACCCCCCACCCCACATCTCATTCCCTCCTCCCCATTAGATTTTCCTCCTCCGCACTTACGTCCGACACACAGCACGGTTTACTGAACTTGTTTGTTGACTCACTGACTAGCATGAAAGCCTCTGCTTCTCATCTGGAATCTCCCTGCTTCAGACTGGCCCTGGCACACGCCGGCCACTCAACTGAAAGGATGGAAATTGGGCTCCAGAGGCTGGGGGAGCACATGGCTCGCTGCCTGAGGCTTCACCTGTGGTGACTTTTCCCTCCCAGGTATTCCACCATCTACACCATGTTCCCTGTGTTTTCTCTGGTTCTGGACAAAGACGTCAAGTCGGAAGTCGCCATGCTGTATCCTGAGCTCTACAAGGACCTCCTCAAGGTGCCCGGGCCCCACCCCCATTTCCTCCTTTCTTCTCTCCCTCCCAATTTCTTTTTTTTTTAATTATTATTATTATTATTTTAAAATGGAGTTCCCAGGGATTGAACCCAGGACCTCGTGTGGGCTAAGCACGCCCTCTACCACTGAGCTCGACCCACCATACAGCTCACTGAGCTTGCTCTGTGACCTGCTGACTGGCTCAAAAGCCCTCTGAGGGCGGGTGGTCCTGTTCGCTCCTCATCTGGGTTCTCCGTGCTGCTTCTGATGCATTTCGCACAGACCCTCCACGTCTGATGTGAACACACTTGAAGTGGTGGTTTTCTTACTTTCGAGGAAGGTCTGGGAGCTTATATTTTATCTGAAAGTAATATACGCACAGATAAAGAATGTTAAACCGTGCTGTAACATGGCAACCGGAAGCAAAGCAGCCAACGACGTTTTTTAAAAGCCTCTGATTGCTTTCAGAGTTTCAGTTGCGTTTTGTAGCTGCAACTTGCGTCTGTAACTAGAAGCATTCTTGTGTACACTTTTTGAAGAGTGTGTGTGTGTGTGTGTATAATTTCATTTATTTGTCCTCAAGGGGTTTTTAATAAAGAGCAGATTTGTTTCCATCTGATGTCAGTTCTCTTTAAAAAAAACATAATATCTCTAATGTATTTAGACGTGTGTAAGCCACTTTTTCGATGAGCACAGGCAGTTGCCTTGTCTGGTCGGGCAAGTCGCCGGAGGCCATTGGCGCCACGCGGTGACCTGCTGTCTCCCTCTCTCTCACGCAGGGACGGCCGTTATCCTACAAGACATTCCTGATATGGGTTTTGATCAGCATCTATCAAGGTAAGGGAGGGTGGAACCACCTGCTGTCTTGTGCGCTGTCCTATTGTCTGTAGCACACAGAGGGAAGCAGCGGAATCCTAAAATAGCAGTAGGGGGTGTGACATTGTGCCCAGAGGGACCACCCCGCAGCGTGTTCTAAGGACCTAAACATTCGGCACCAAGTCGCATATGTGAGGTGGTGCTGTCAGCTTAATGGAGACAAAGTCAGAGAAAAAGATGACAAATACTAATCAGAGCCTGATGGGGTGTTGGAGTCAGTGTAACAAAAAGTAGTTGCTTTCTGGAACATTCTGATCCTTTTTCTGAGGTCAAATTGTAGTGTTTAAAAAATATATTTACATCCATGGCTTCCAGAGAGCGTCTCCCAGACTGTAGAGGCTTTATAAGACTACTTACTGGAATATGAGAAGGAAATATCAAAACCTCTGTTTGTGTTTGTTTTTTCCTTACTCCTTTTAGAATTTCTATTTTTATGGATGTTTTATGATGTACCTACTTATATTGGTACAGCCGTCCTACTGTCTCTCTGTGTGTCTGCACAGGGACACACAGATAATTTACAAATACACATTGGATGTTAGGGATTCATCCTTAATATGTTTTGCTGATAGATGGTGCAGTCAGAAAGCGTAGAGACCATTCAGTTTGCTGGCAGGAGGCTAAATTGTCATTAAAACCAGTTGAGGGGGTCTTACTGAGAAATGTAACAAAGTGACATGTGTGTATCTGGTTAAAGAAAGCAAATCCTGCAGAACAGTTCGTTCTAACAGGCAGTGCTCCAGCCCCGGTGCAGTTATAACAGGCAGTCACTTGAGGAATTTCAGGGTTTAGGGTCTGTTGCCCCTGATTTTTAGTAATATTCTCATGCTGCTGTGTTTTTGTCAACATGAGACATTATCCGTTCAGTTCCTGCCATCCTGAATAAAACTTAGCTGTACTTTTCTCCTCAGTATCAGTGCATAATTCTTTGAGTGTCTTGCTTGGCTGCCTCTACCACTGCGTCGGGGGGATGGGGAGGAGTAGGGGTTGTAAAGCAGGTAACGTAAAGTTAACCATCATAATGTGTGTGCAGGTCACTAGTGTTCAGTGTACTTTTGTTGTTGTGAAACAAGATCTCCAAGACTGTTTGATCTTGCAAAACTGAAACTGTATATCCATTCAACAACAGACTCCTTTTTCCTTCCTGCCCCTGGCGATCACCATTCTACTTTCTGTCTCTATGAATTTGACTGTTTTGGTCCCTTGTATAAGTGGGATCTTAAGGTGCTTGTTCCCTTGTGGCTGCCTACATCTGTCATTTTATTCGTATTATCTTTTTAACGGAGGGACTGGGGATTGAACCCAGGACCTCGTGCATGCTAAGTGCGCGCTTTACCACTGAGCCCTACCCTCCCTGCTACATCTGTCATTTTAAATAATACATTAAAGCGTCTATTTTTTTTTCACCCAGTTCAGATGGTTTCTCTCTCCCTCTGCCTCTCTTGCTTTTTCCCTCTCTCTCTCCCCCCTCTTCTCTCTCCCTCTCTCTATCCAGTTACAGACTCGATTGTGTAATGTCAAAAGGGAACATGGCAAAACTAGAATGTGATGCCGTTCTTTAAAACCTCCGCAAAATACCGCTCGTTACCCTCCTTTAATGTGTGGTACCTTTCATGTCTAAATGGAAAAAAAAAAGGAGTCGAACTGAGTGAGCAATGTGAGGCTTCGATGGGGAAGGAGTGGGAGGCATTGCTCCCAGCAGAGGGGGCAGGTGGGTGCCAGCAGCCCCCCACCGGCCTCTGTTCTGCTTCCCAGGGAGCACCATCATGTATGGGGCGCTGCTGCTGTTTGAGTCAGAGTTCGTGCACATCGTGGCGATTTCCTTCACGTCGCTCATCCTCACGGAGCTGCTGATGGTGGCCCTGACCATCCAGACCTGGCACTGGCTTATGACCGTGGCCGAGCTGCTCAGCCTGGCCTGCTACATCGCCTCCCTGGTGTTCTTACACGAATTTATTGGTAAGACACCCCCCCCAACCCCCGCATTTAAAGCCTGCCAGTCAGGTCCAGGGGTCTCACCAGCTTGTGAAGGAAGGCAGGCTGACCTGGGCTCTTTGTCCAGCAGCTGTCCCCTTGCACTCAGCTGCCCACTGTTTCTTACTGGCATCCCCTGGGACAAGTGGCAGTTGAGAAATCAGCCTCTTGGAACTGAAGCCATCGGGCATGATATCAGTATAGAATGTTTTCTTTTAAAACCACGCTGTGCCTGCTGGCTTGGAAGGGGATTAATTCTGCAAGGACCTAGTGGCTTTCTCCAGGGAGGTGGCCACTGTGCTGGGCTCTGTGGAGTTAGGGAGACGGTGAGTGTAGTGTCTTGGTCTTGCTCGAGCGTAAGTGCTAGTCCAGCAGGAGACTTTGTTAGCTTGAGAAACTGCCTTATCAGGAAAGCATCTTTGATCATGCCTCTTGTTTATCAGCAAATGCTCCTTAGGAAGCTTTTAATTTAAAAAATTTTAATTATTACTGTGTTTTAATTTTTGGAGTGGGAGATAATTGGCTTTGTGTATTTATTTTTCAGTGGCAGGGAGGGTAGGGCTCAGTAGTAGAGCACACACTAGGGGTTGAACCCAGGACCTCATGCATGCCAAGTGGGCTCTCTACCACTGAGCTATACCCGTCCCTCTGAGAAGGTTTTAATAAAGGAGAAAAGGAGCATTCCCATGAAAAGTGAAGTCTTAGAACAATATCACACTTGTTTGAAAAGTCTCTCCAAGTGGGTTTTGTGAGCACCTACTATGTGCTCAGTGGCTTGAGACCTGGGAGTCACAGAGGCTTAGAAGACACGAAATCTGTCCTCAGGAAGCTTGGGTCTGCCGCCCTAGACGTGGACCAGCCACAGGACTGGGCGAGCAGCACGTGGGTGGGGCCCTGGGCCCGGCACGTAGAAGGTATTCACTCGGTGCCCGCTGCATCGCCCCCAGCCTGTGCTCCAGAGGTGGGAAAGGTGTCTGCCGGGGCATCCGCTGCAGGTCCTGTTGAAGATCGCTAGCTGTCACTCCTCTTTTGAAAGAAACCTTCTAACTGCGGGGTTGACTGTCCTGCAGCTAGAAGGGGAGCTTAACAAACTCCCCCCACCTCCCTGCCACTGAAGTTATGCTTTTCCTGACACGGGGTCCCCGCCCGTTTTGCAGCACCCTCGGGCTGGCTCTGGCTTTCGTGACCGTCACTGAGGCGAAGGGGAAAAGATGCTGGGAGGCAGAAACGTGTGTTTGAGCGTCCCTTTCTGCTGGATTTAGAGAGAAACACTCCAGCTGTCAGATTCCAAATCAAAAACACCTGAAGGGATTTTTTTCCCCCCTGTAGTTTTCTTTTCCAAGTTGCTGAAAGTAGCATTTCGCAGAAGGTCAGGAAGCTCCAGAGCAGGTCAGAGGGAGGAGGAGCGAGGCAGGAAGGTCAGGCATTATCGGTGCATCCCTCTGGGAGTGAGCGCAGGAGAGGGGCTGGGACCCACGCTCGCCTGCGGTCTCCTGCCGGCGACGCCGGGCGGCCCCCTCCCACTCACCGCCGTGCTCTGGTTTGCTTGCAGACGTGTACTTCATCGCCACTCTGTCCTTCTTGTGGAAAGTGTCCGTCATCACTCTGGTCAGCTGTCTGCCCCTCTACGTCCTCAAGTACCTGCGAAGACGGTTCTCCCCTCCCAGCTACTCCAAGCTCACGTCCTAGGCTGTGCGCTCGGGGGGAGGACCCTGTCTCCGCGCCTTCCCGGTGGATGGAGGTCAAGTCGGGTTGATAGTCACCGCCACCTGTGGATTTTGCAGGAATTGCGACCACGTGCAGTTCTGATGTGAAGAGGCCCTGGGCTTCCACGGAGCCCCGACCCTGAGTCAAGGGGAGGGAGGTTCCCGGGAGGGGCCCTTGCGGCCCGTCTGAACCCCCGGTGATTGGCCTTTGAGTGAATGTGACTACGTTACAGCCGGTGACTCGCTGAGGGGATTTCTACATGGGTCACTGTGCAGGCTTCCTTATGACTTGAATTTTGCTGTCATGTGATAAAAGTTTCTGTCCGGTTGAAGATTGTAGCGGGTTTTTGTTTTGTTCTAAACAATCCTAATGTGTGTGCACTTTTTACGTCTTTCTGCTCTTAAACAACAGGTCTGAGAGAAAGTTAAAGCTCTTAGTATTTGCGAGAAAAGACAGTGACATTTGGTAAAAAGTTAACCAGACGGTAATCTCAGCTCAGAACTGCTAAATAGGCCCTTTGAGGTGGTCCTGCTTACTGAAGCTGCACGGGGTTCCTGGGGTTACAAAGGCAAACGAGAAGAGAGGGGGAGGGACCCTGAATAAACGGGAGGGAGAGCCGAAGATCCAGCACGTTAGCTTCCCTCTGATTCAGCGTCTGCAGCCCGGGGGTTAATGTCACCTGCCACCTCGTAAAAGAATTTCAAAGGTGTTCTCTCGCTTTGTTTGGACCCAGTTACAAGCATAAAGCCTGTGGCTATCTGAGGACACCCTCATACATTTTCAGCAGAGTTGTTTTAGCAGGAAATGTGCCACTGAACAGCCCTAAACGTGTCGACACTGTGATAAGAGACCCAACTAATTCTTCAGACAACACAGCACATGTGGCTCAGATCCTCTGAGTCCGTGGTGGAAAGGTCAGGGGCTGGGGCTCTTTCCTTCCACGGAAGTCTGTTTCCTGTTAGGAGGAATTACTGAGGATGGAGTGACAAAGTCAGAGGCATCTTAACGCGTTGCCACTCGTCAGTGGCGGCTTCAAGCAAGGGGCCCAGTGGGAGGAGGCGAGGCTGCAGCTCCGGGGGCTGGGCTCCATGCGGCTGCCCGCACGTCTCCCGGGGAGCTGGCCGACTCCTCTCCGCACCAGGCTGGGGCCCACGTGTGTGCGGTTCTCACAAAGCTGGGGCTTCTGGCTGCAGAGGCAGGAGAGGATCTGCAAGCACACGGCATGGCAGGGCAAGGCGTTCTTGGGTTTCGAGTCTCTCCTGGCAGAAGCCACAGATTCTGTAAGGGTTAAGCTGGTAGAACTCTAGGAGCTGAGTGTTTGATGTCTTGGATTTGTGATTCATTCTTTATGAGTACACGCCCTCCAGCCCTCCAGCCCTCCAGCCAGCTACTTCTTCATGTGCTTAGTTCAGGGATGGAAGTTACGGCCACTCTCCCCGGGGAAGGCTGCTCTTGGAGAGCTGGGGACACGAGGAACAGATGGTCCTGGACTTCAGAGTGCTTAATATGCCTGTGTGTTTCTGTTGCCCTTTTAAAACTTTAGAGTGGCAGTGAATTGGCTGTGACATCACTTCTATTTTTGTTTTAAGATGCTGCAGTTTTGCAGTATTTTTCCCCTTCTGTTCCAACCATTTCTGCCATACAGGAAGCGTCTGCAGAAAATACATGTTGCATTGAGTGAATGGTTATTTAGGAGGAGGATCTTTGTCCAGAGCTTTCAGAAAGGGTGAGTGAGTCTGACGTCTCCGCTGGGTGATTTCAGAGGTAGAGCAGGTGGGAGAAAGTTGTGCTCAACATTTCTGCTTGGACGTCAGCCTGAAAGTCTACAAGTAGTTCTACTCTTGAGTTCTCAAACTCGGAACCTAACCTTGTTGACAGACAGGTGATGGCTCCTGCAGGTAGGTCTCATGGAACCCTTGATTGGAGATTTTTAGATGTTTCCAGCAGATACAGGGAGTGAAGATGGTCTCTTTGGTCTTTTCCCTAATTCCCAGTTTTGGTCGAGGTGCTTGAATTGACGTTGAAAGTCAACACCCAAAGTCCTGCTTGACGTCTTGGAGGGAGAAAGCATCTCAGGGGCAGAAGGAGCCGTGCCTGGAAGCCACAGGTACCTGCTTGTGCCATCAGCAGACCTCCTTGTTCTGTCGTCTCGACCACACCGTGGTGGAGCACTCAAAGGTGAAAAGGACCAAACGCAAGTGGAGGCCGCAGCCTCATTGGAGAGCCACCCTGCCCGTGGGCAGCCTGCTCCCACCCCCCACTGGGGTTCTGGGGTGTCTGGAAGTGACACACGTGCTTCTCAAACTCTGGGGACCCACGGGGCATGAGCCTCGCGTCGGCTGACCACACGGTCCTTTGCTGCACACACCAGCCCGTGAACCCTGCGGGGACCCGGCAGACGCGGGCACTCACTGTGTTAGCCGAGCCGTGGGGAGATGAACAAAAAACCGAGCTGTTGTACTGGAAAGTCCCGAGTTCACAAACCTCAGCCATGAGGACTCCGTTCACCCACCTGCAAGGAACGCAGGAAATACCATTGACACCTTGGAGCTCCGCTCGCCTTGGAACTCCTTGGAGCCGAGTCTCCAGCAGCCAGTTTGACCCGAGGCAGAGGCCCCCCTACACACAGTCAGTGCTGCTTAAATACTTCTCGTCCAAGTAAAAAGTACAGCCCCCCCCCACAAGACAGCACTGGGTATTTCTGTCCAAGTAACTCCCTTTGATTATTTTTATTATATTTTGGGGTGATGGTGGTGTGGGCGTGGGCAAGAACGGGATCTGTTTGGTTTCTCTCCCCCCCCCGCCTTCCTCCCTTTCTCAAGGAAAATGACCAGAAGGCTTCCCCATCCTGAGTGATTTCTCCTGCCTGTCCACTTTGATTCTAATTTTGAGAGCGTGTACGCGCTCAGAGAGCCAGGCTGCGCGGACTCGGGCTGTGAGGGGCACAGGACTGCCCGCAGCCACGGAGGGCATCCTGGGAGCGCCTGGACGCGGGGCAGCCCATCTGTTTACAGTCACCTGGAGCTGGGAGGCCCAGAGCGGGGGTTCCTCCCACTGTTAGCTCTGTTCTATCCAGATCCCAGACTCTCTTGCCTGAAGTGAAACCCCCTTTTTTGTAGCAGTGATCTTAAATACCAACGTCTGCTTACCCTGTTCCTCTGTGTGTTTTCTGCTGAAAATTTAGGTTCTACTGACGATGATTTTGAATGTATTTTGGCTTTTGTGCACATTGGAAGTTGACATGATGATGCCTGCTTCTCTTCCTCCAGCCTTTTGCTTTTAGACTGTTTTTGTTTTGACTGGGGTGGGGGTGGGAACGCCCTCTCGCCTTTACGGGGCAGCGTTTTAAACCTCTGCCGAAATTGCATGTGGGACCTATGTGTTGTTTTGCTTCATCCTGTTTAAGGCAAACACCTATCAGCCATTTTTATCTTTGACCTTTTTTGTGTGTCTGAAATATGTGTATGTGTGAGTGTATGATGTCACCTCAGTTGTTTTGAGGACATCTTTGGTTGTCATTGGGTTAAAATCCTGTCACTCCTGGCTTTGTTTTCCTTAAGAAATATGCAAGGAGCTTTGCAAAGACAACAGATTTTATTTCTCCCTTCTTTTAACGTAAAGCTTTTTTTTTCTTGTCATTTGTATGTACGTCTTAGGAGATATTTCCATTAATTATGTCCATTCCGTCTTGGGGGGAAAAACATATTTTGCTTTTGGATGGAGCTGAGAAGCACGTGAGCAGCACAGCTTGTGCTTGGACCTGCGCGGCGTCCCCTGTGAACCTGTCTTCTCCAGCGCACTGTGGTTGGAGGCATGGTCCGCTAGTGTCACGGGGCAGTGTCTGTGAATACTGTTTCTGGGGGCAGGTGGGACAGGGGCGTGGTTCCCCCCTAAAAAAAAATTGTGGCTAATTTATTATTTCATTGCAGTAGGGCTGACTGTAAACTCCTCTGGGACTCCATGAATTCCTCCTTAGAATTCCTCTTTATCTGTAATCTGCATTGCAAAGATTCACCAGGACAGCGTTTTTTGATTAGAGGGAACCTCTGGTACAGAGCTTTGATTTAGCAGGAACTCTCGGATGATTTAAATTCTCCATCCTGTGATGACGCACGTGCGATCCTGCGTGATGCTGAGTGGTTCTACTTTCATTGTCCTCCAGCCTGGCCCATTGCTGTTGCCCAATAAAGCTTGTGTACCTGTGCCTTTGGGGGTCATTTTAATTCGTGCAGAAACATGAATTCTGGTGTCAAAATGAGGGCTTTTTAGTATAACGCTCTTATTTTGTGTGTATCTCATGGTACATAAATGTAAATTGGTTTTTCTCCAGTTAAAGAATAATTTTAATTTCAGAAAAAAACCCAAACCAAATCCCAAACCCATGCATTATTTATTATTCTGTACTGTTGTCTGTTCCAGGCATGTGAGAATTTTAAAAAGTGATTTATATTAATAGAAAAAAAGGCAAACATTTTATTTATACACACAGTGCTTGATTGCTTGGCAGCCCCCCCCCCTTTTTTATAAGCAAGTGATAGAAATTTAGGAATATGGTCACTTAAGTTTTAGGGAAGAAAGTTTAGGAATATGGTCACTTAAGTTTTAGGGAAAAAGAGCTTTTTAAACTGTGGTATAGGATGCAGGGGACGTCGTGTTTTATTAATTTAATCCAGTGATTCTTAAACGGGTGATTTTTGTCCCACAGGGGACACATGGCCATATCTGAAGCCATTTTCGGTGGTTCTGTGCTGGCATCTAATGAGGAGAGTGCAGGGATGCTGCAGGGAGACCCTACAACGCGCAGGACAGCCCCGCAACAGAATCATCCAACCCAGCATCAAAAGTGTTGAGGCTGAAAAACCCAAACACAGTTTGCACGTGTTAGTTTTGCCATTTGTAAGAGTCTTCACTTCCAAAGGAGCCCAGCGGTATAAACCCCCATCTCAGGAAGCCGGTCAGCCATGCGTCCACCTGGCCGCGTGTTTTATTAGCAGCTGTTTGCAGGGCAGGCTGCTGGTTTCCCCTCACTGGTTCCTGCTCGCTCGTGGGTTAGAAAGGGGATTGTGCGTTAGCTGTGCCGCCATCGAGCGCGGTCCCCTAGGCGCCCGGGGGGTGACGCGCCAGCTCTTGTGACCTGAGCTTGTAGGAGGAACAGAAGGACAGGACTTCTTAAACGCAGGCCGTCAGTGTGAAGTTTTCTGACTGCATCTGTCGGCTGTGAAATTCTGTTCATGTGCAGACACTCCTCGTTTCGAGCCACTAGGGGGAACTTGAGGACTGAGAGACGTTTCTGTTTCCTGTTTTCGCCAACCCCGCAGGCGCAGCCTACCCGACCAAGTCTGTTTCAAGATGCTGCTGCTTTCAGAGCTTCAGAATTTATTTCATGGCCAACAGCTCCGTTAAAAACAGACATTTCTTTTTATGTTGTTGACCAGACTGTTTTGCTGGACTTAGCTTGAAAGAAAAAAAAACACGTAGCGAAGTTGGGGGTTGGGGGGTGAGATGAATAATTTATTTGATCTTGGATATTTGCATTTTGGAATAATTGGCCACTGAGAAGCCTTGCCCTCCTCACTCTTCAAGCTCATAAGGTCTGGAGACGAAATGTTCCAACACCCCAAGTACTTTAACTGTTTTTGTTATGAAACTTTTCAGGGTGACCTGAAACCCTGCGGTATTTGTGAGGAGATCTGTAAATGATGGATTTGCTCACCTCAAAATAGAACTGTAGTCGCTCCAAACTTTCCAGAAGTCGGAGCACAGTAACAGAATTCATTCAGGACTTGCTAATTTCCTACTTTAAATGGGTTACATAACAGAGCAGTCCCGCCTTCGCGCCTCGCAAAACGTACCCATGAAGTGATGGTGAAATGTATCATTAAAAGCTCGAAATAGCTTTGCTAAACTCTGGGAAAAAGATGAGTTTTTTTATTTTCTTCTGATATCCCCCCTCCTTTTTTCACCCAAACATTGCATAATGTTAAAAAAAAAATAAGTCAAATCTTTCCATGGGATTTAATTTCATTCTCCATGTGGCTGTGGTCGGAGGGGTAACTTAAGTACTTCAGGGGCTGGTAGATTTTTGGAGGATCACGCACTCCCAGATCGGTTTTCATCTGAAGCCTTAGCAGAGAAATATGCCCCGTCCTAGGGTTTCTCCCCTTCCCTCCGGCTCCCCTTTTGTGGATGAGTTCTCTACAACGCAGCATCTTTTCAGAAAGTCTGCCTGCTCACAGGAATGCCAAAGCAAAGCCACCCTCTGCTTTCCATATTGAGGTTTTTATTTTGATACAGATTCCCCCTAAAGTTTGGGGTAACTGAATCATATGTGAAGTCACCAGCCCCACAACCTAGGCTCGGTGACCCGCCAGGTCTCATTTCTTAGAACTCAGCCTGCAGGTTCTGTTTGTTTATGCTGAGAACTTGGTGATCCAAGCCTCTGCTGCTCATTTTCAAGAGATTTAAGAACTTTTTTTTAACCTTTTATTGGGTCCAGATAAGCCCAGGAATATGTATATTTTACAGTTTCCTTCAAGGAAGATTATAGAACCCAGAGAGAGAAAGAGGGGTTGAAGTTGTGTGAATATTTCATTCACTCATTCATTCACTCAGTATTTACTGAGCACCTACTCTGTGTTGGGTACTGTTCTTTGGGCTCTAGGCACTGTGGAGAATGAGATGGACAGTCCCTGCCCTCATAGGGATTATCTTCTCGTTTGTGTGTGTGAGAGAGAGAGACAATGGACATACAGATACAGATGCTAATATTCTCCAAAGAAGCCAGGTGAGGGGTAGGTGGAGTGATGAGCTGGTAAAGCTGAGGGTGGGGAAAGTGGTGGGAGTCAGAAAAGGGCCATCTAGGATGGACCTCCCGAGCAGGAGCCTGAAGGATGAGAGGAAGGGAACTGTGGAAGGCTGTAGGGGAAGTGGTGTTCCCCCAGCAGGTTGTGCAAAGGTCCTGGGGTTGGAAAGGCTGGGCATGTTGGAGGAGCAGAAAAGGAGGGCACCATGGCTGGAGTGCCGAGACCACGGAGGAGGTGAGGGCAGGTAGACTGGTAGGGCCCGTGGTCATGCAGACTGAATGCTGCATGAGGACCAAGCAAGCATCATGAAAGACCTCACTGCACCTGAGGTCTACCTGAGGAGCCCCATTTCACTCTTTCCCTGCTATTCACTGACCCATCCTTGTGTGTCTTTGTTGCCACCTCTGTGTTCCAAGGGGTTCAGGTGAGGCCCCTCTCATTGGAATCAGCCTACTGCCCTGCCCATTATTGCGTTGTGACTTTATTGGCATAAACGACACTAACTATTAAATAACAAGAGAAGAAGCCAGCCTTTGGATGCAATTTCTTCTTACTTTTCCAGCAAATACTACGAAGGGTCCCTGTTCAGCCCTGCCTGAGTGCAGGGGGCAGAAGTGATTGCTCCCTGGCGAGTCCTGGAAGGCAGGCCACCTGAGACTTAGAAGGTGAGTCTGGAGGAGGAATAGGCAGAGAAGGATGAGCGGAGTCATGTTCTTCCAAGCTGCCACATTTCTAGAATATGCCCACTTGGGTCAGATTTCGAAGAGGAAGCCTTTTGCAGTCATGAACTGCGTGCGGGAGCCCAGGCTGTGTTCAAATTCCTCCCAAAGAAAGAAAGATTAACGAGAACAGGCTGTGGAAAAGAATGTAGCTAGTGTCTTAAAGATGGGCAAATATTCATTCTCCTTTGTCCTTTTATGTGAAACAGATTTCGTAAAAGGCAGTTGGAGTAGCTAACGACATCCAGAACCCTGTGGATTGGAGAGGGACTGGGGGCAGGGACTCCAACTGGCCCCAAATGACTAATCAGACCCAAAGAAAGAGGTGAGTTGATTACCCTGGACCTTGCAGAGGAATTCTTCAAAGATGTGGGCAATAATTAGAGTGTAAGATGCTACTCTCTATGCACATAACTTAGCATAATTTTATTAGGCAGCTCATCACCACCAGAATTAGAGAAAAATCAGGCTAGAAAAAAAAGAAATCTGCTAGCCAGGCTGACTTAAGCGAACATGGAGACTCTTGCTGTAAAATGGCTTCATGCTTGCGGGAGACTCCAAGAGAGAGCGCCACCTTTCTTTTGGGCCCTGTGGTGGGTGGGAGAGAGACAGATACAGTGACATTTTAGGAAACAGGCTGGAGTTTGCCAAGGGGCAGCACAGGGCGACGTGTCCTGGACTCAGCTGGAATGGAGACAGACCTGGTTTGGGTACAGTTCCCACACCTCCTGAGTGATTCAGGGCTGATTCTTTAACTTCCCTGAGCTGCAGGGCCCGCCTGCTTTGAGGGGCGGGAGCCCCGCTGGTGAGGCCAGCAGTGAGGCTCACGGAGCAGCTGTTGTCATCACTTGAGACCTTTGAGCGGAGGGCGAGCTGCAGATGGATGGAGGCATCGTCCCCTAAGTTCAAAGTCCTTCATAGAAATGGATTCATGTGCATGTCTTTTTTTGTTTCCAAACATGGAGGTCACCCGTCTGGTTGGAGTTACTTAGATCTGATTTCAAAGTTTGGGCCCAGACTCCCACCTTGAGTCTGTCCACTCACCTTTCCCTGACTTCGCAGGTGCTCTGCCTTTAAATAGCCCTGCTCTGAGTGGCTCCTGTTTCCCCACCTGCGCCTGCGCTCTTGAGTGGGACAGGAACCTGCCTCCCTTATGTGGGGCTGGCCTGGGCATCCCTGCTGGGGGCTCACACCCTTCAGGGCGGGGCTGGATAGATGTGGCCAGAGGAGAGAGGGGGCTTCTCCAGAACTCCACTGACTTGGCAGTTTGGGAGAATGAGAATCAGTCATTGAACTGGCGATTTATTTAACACATTTTTTTTTGACATGGAAATACATTCATTACTGTAACAGAGCAGAAGGCAAAATTTTGCTTGAGTTTGAAAAGATAAACCATGAAGCTTGAGAGAAGTGTGGGGGGAGGGGGGTGGTTGGTGCTTCCTCACTGGCTCTGCTCTTCAAGGATGTGGACGGCGGCTTGGGAGGAACCGACTTCCTGTTTTATCCTCAGCCAGCCCGGGACCTGGCCTGGGGTGAGGGCTCAGGAAACCTTTGTGACTTTGAGGTTTGTTTTTTTTTTAATTGTATACACAAAATATATCATTTTAATCATTTTTAAGTGTACAGTTCAGGGGCATTAAGTCATTGAGTTTTAAGAGAGGATTCTGAAAGATTCAGGAACCTGACTGGAAAAAGGGGGGCCTTGCTGGATCCTGGCATTTTACGGTTGCAAAGTCCTTTCCCACCTGCCCCTCATCATTCTGTGATTCTGAGGCGCTATTATCCCCATTCTGCAGAGGAGAAAAGCATCCCTGAGACAGGTTGAAGCAGGGCCACATAGCAACACAAATGTTCATGGCGTTATTCACAACAGCCAAAAGGTGGAAACAGTCCAGTTGTCCATCAACTGATGAAGGATAAACAAAATGTGGTCTAGGCCTAGGGTGGGATCCGACTATTCAGCCGTAAGAAGGAATGAAGTACTGACACGTGCCGCAGCGTGGATGGGCCTTGAGAACATTAGGCTGAGTAACAGGAAAGTTGCTATCGGTCACGTGTTGCATGATTTCATGTTTATGTGACGTGTCCAGAAGGGACACATCTGTAGAGACAGAAAGTAGATCAGTGGTTGCCCAGGGCTGGGGAAGACTGGAGGATGGGGGTGACTTCTGTCGGCTATGGGGATTCTTTTTGGGGTGATGAAAATGTTCTAAAATTAGCTTGTGATGTTGGCTGTGCAGCTGTAAATATGGTAGAACGCATTTAATTGTACGCTACCAGTGGGTGAATTTTATAGTTGTGTCACTTATATCTCAGTAACTCTGCTTAAAAAAAATCGAACCCGGCCGAACTGCGTCCAGACTGGCTGTACCGCTTTTCTCGTTCCATGGCAGCAGCGCGTGTGAGGTCCGGTTACTTCATGTCTCCGTCAGCACTTGGCATTGTCAGTCCTTTTGCTGTAGCCGTTCTGACAGATGCGCAGGGCTCTCTCTTCCTGATTTTAGTTGTATCCTCCTCGTGGTTGACGGCATTGAACATCTTTTCTTGTGCTTGGTTGCCACTCACATACCTTCTTTGGTGATACTCGTGTCTTTGCCTGCCCCCCCGCCCCGCCATCCATCATTTTACAATTGGATGTTTTTCTCATTGTTGAGTTCTGAGAGTTCTTTATATACCTTGGCTAGAACGTCATTGTTGGACAGAAGGTCATTGTTGGATATGTGATTTGCGAAACAACTCTCCTCTGTGGCTTGTCGTTTCGTTCTCTTTATTGCCAATATCTCTAATTCTAACCACTCTGGTGGGTGCGTTGTGGTATCTGATGGTGGTTTTAATTTGCATCACATCACGTCTCAGTCTGGTTTGTGGGGTCTTGGTTCAACAGCAGCTCTGACTTTATGCAAAGTGCTTTACATACAGGATCTTTTTGAAGAGTTGTTATCTTTTCCA